CTCCCCTCCAGCCCCCCCCCTCCCCCTCCTGCCTTCCGGAGATGAATGCTCTGCCACACTGCCTGTCACTCGCTCTGTTTACCTCGCTCTGACTGCGCTACCGAGAGGGCGCCGGAGGAAAGCTGTTTGGTTTCTTTTCTCAGTCTTTGTTTGTCTGTTTTTTTGTTTTGTTTTTGTTGTTGTTGTTTTTGTCTTTTTTGTTTGTTTGTTGTTGTTTTTTTTGTTTTCTTTCTTTCTCTTTCTCGTTTATTTGATTTTTTGATTATTGTTCTCTTTTTCTTTCTCTTTATTTATCTGTTTGTTTGTTTGATTGTTTTCGTTATCTGTCTTTCTCATTATGTGTCTATTTTTTCTTTTCTTTTTTCTTTCTCTCTCTGTGTGTTTTTTATTCTTTTTCTCTCTTTATCTATATATTTTTTCTCTTCTGTTTTTTCTAGCTTGGTCTATTTTTTCGCATTCGCTTTTTTGCCTTTATTTATCTGTGTTTTTCCCTCTCTTTACCAATCTTCTTTTATTCTCTTCATCTCTTTACCAATCTTTATCTATCTATTCTTTGTTTTTGTTTTTGTTTTTAATGCTCTTTTTATTTCTTTATCTGATTTTACCAATTCTTATTCTCCATATTTTTCTCTGTTTTTGTTTGTTTGTTTCTCTCTCTCTCTCTCTCTCTCTCTCTCACTCTCTCTCTCTCTCTCTCTCTCTCTCTCTCTCTCTCTCTCTCTCTCTCTCTCTCTCTCTCTCTCTCTCTCTCTCTCTCTCCCTCTCACTCTCCTCTCTCTCTCTCGTTCATACCCTCCGCTCTCCTCTGCTCCTCTCTCGTCTCTCTCCTCTCTTCTCTCTCTTATCCTCTCCTACTGTCTCTCCCTCCTCTCTTCCCTTCCTCACTTCCCTCCCTCCTCCCTCTCTCCTTTCCTCCCATCCTCTCTCCTTCTCTCCCTCATTTGCCCCTTCCTCTCTTGTATTTATTTTCTTTCAGTCTTTCTTTTCTCTTTCCGATGATATCGTTGAGGTGTTCGTCGTAAAGAGGTTATAAGCCTTGTTGTTGTTACTATGGTTCGAGATTTCGCTTTTCGCTCGTCCCTTGTCTCCTTTTTGCTATGTCCCTTTTTCTGTCTATCCATCTGTCTGTCCGTCCGTCAGTTTATCTGTCAGTCTATATGTCTGTCTGTCTGTCTCTATATCTTTCTCTTTTTCTCTTTTTCTCTTTTTCTCTCTCTCTCCCTCCCTCCCTCTCTCTCTCTCTCTCTTCTCTCTCTCTCTCTCTCTCTCTCTCTCTCTCTCTCTCTCTCTCTCTCTCTCTCTCTCTCTCTCCTCCCTCTCCTCCCTCCCTCCCTCCCTCCCTCCCTCCCCCCCTCCCTCCCTCCCCTCCCCCCTCCTCCCTCTCTCTTTCTCTCTCTCTCCCTCCCTCTCTCTCTGTTCCTCTTTTCTCTCTCTGGTTCTTTCCCCTCATATTACAGCATGATTTCGTATTATTAACGCAGAAGCGCATAACGCGAGGCATATTGACGATTCTCCAAATAACATGAATGAATCGCCTATATTACCCGTCCCGTTCGTTCGCGGCTTCCCTTTTTATGAAGCACAAGCGAATGGGGTGAGATGTATAAGATTAGTTTTCTTTTTTTTCTCTCCTTTTTTCTTTTCTCTTTTTTTTCTTTTTTTCTCCTTTTTTCTCTCTATTTTTCTTTCTTTTTTCTCTTTTTTTCTTTTTTCTTTCTTTTTTTCCTTTTTTTCTTTCTTTTTCTTTCTTTTTTTTCCTTTTTTCTTTTTTTCCTTTTTTCTTTCTTTTTTTCTTTCTTTGTTTTCCTTTCTTCTTTCTTTTTTTCCTTTTTTCTTTCTTTCTTTTCTTTTTTCTTTTTTCTTTTTTTCTTTTTTTCATGTGGGCCTTTTCGTGCTACCAAGCGTCTAGATTATCTCGCGTTACCTCGGATTATTAAGGCTATGTGTTCAACCTTTCATATCTGATGCTGACGTGTAGGAGGAGGAGGGGGGGTGGAGGTGGAAGTGGAGGTGGAGGTGGAGGTGGAAGTGGAGGTGGAGGTGAAGGTGGAGGAGGAGAAGGAGAAGGAGAAGAAGAAGAAGAGGAGGAGGAGGAAGAAGAAGAAGAAGAAGAAGAAGAAGAAGAAATAATATATTAATTAATTTCTGGGATCGGTGCTCGGCGTGGTGCTCCCCCGACGGATAGGTTGGGTACACTGGGGAAACGAGTGTACTCCGGCTGGCCATCTGGTGGACGAAAATGCAAAAGGCGGTTTAGAAATGTTTGGGCGAAATGGCTTTGTGGGGTTTATTTCTTGGGTTTTAAGAGTGTGTCAGGTTTTTTGGTTCTGAAATAGCGTGTGGGTATTTGGACTTGTTGATTTTGAAGGATGCGTGGGGTTTAGTTAGGTTGCACAAAACGGTTTGCGTTGTTAACCCAAACGCCCCGGATTTATGTTCTGTCCCCTGTAGTTTTATTTTTGTTGTTGTTGTCGCTGCTGTTGTTTTGTTTTGTTTTGTT